AAAAATACCTAAAGGAAACAACTCCAATGCGGTATTCCGCTAACTTGTTCAACTCGTCGATTTTGGTTTCTTCCTTTCATCTGAAAAATTCTCACTTCCATTCCCACAAGTTTATATCTATCGATCTTGTTTCTCAGGTAATTTCTTTCTCAATTCGAGTTTCGATAGTCAAGTAATTGGATTGTGCAATTGGGTTCGTGATTCCTCGATCCTTGTCTATTTAGGTTTTAATGAAAGATACGGAAGTGACGGCGGAGCTAGTAACTCCGGGAGATGTACTCGGGAATGCGACTGAGCTCAAAGCCGGCAAAGGAGCTTACCTCAATGACACCACCATCTACGCTTCCCTCACTGGAACCCGCCGGATTCTTCCTCCTCTTCCCGAATCCCTTGACCAGGTTTCTGTTTTTGTTTTTCATTGTAATGATCTGGATGCGTACTTCTTGTGGGATTCATTTGTTTTGTGACTATATATATATGCAGAGAGCCACTGTGGAAGTTACCGGTCACAAGGCACATGGGCCTGTTCCTGAGCCTGGTTCTCTTGTCATTGCAAGGGTCAGGCTCCAATTATTCATTGGATTTCATTCCATACTTTAAAAAAAAAACTTTGATTCTTATATATTCTCTGTAATTCTTGATAGGTGACGAAAGTTATGGCGCGGATGGCTGCTGCTGATATCCTATGTGTCGGTCCAAAGGCCGTTTGTGAAAAATTTGCGGGGATAATCAGGTTCTTCCGCCGTTTATTTCAAGGTGTTTAGTATGATTTATGTGTCTATCTAACTTATGGTTAAATCTTTTTCAGGCAACAAGATGTTAGAGCAACAGAGATTGACAAAGTTGACATGCATTTGTCTTTCCGTCCTGGTGACATCGTTAGAGCTCTCGTTGTATCCTTTGTGCACTTAACATCAAACTGTTCTACATTTATTTGTCTAGAATCTTTTTGCCTACTATCTAGTTTTGTAACACTAAAACTTTGGGGTTTAGGAGCCTGCTAAACTTCGGGGTTTAGGAGCCGGCCAGTGCTTTACATCGCTTTTAGAGCATATACACTTCTAAGATCTGTTACATCATACATCTTCTTTTGCTTAATTTGAATATCGGTATAGCATCTCAAGGTTCCTTAACTTGGACTCTTAAAGCTGTCTCTTGGTGATGCGCGGGCTTACTATCTGTCAACTGCTAAGAATGAACTTGGTGTGGTCTCAGCGGAAAGTGCTGCAGGTATATTTTGTTTCCTCTTCTTGGAAACTAATAAAATTGTTATAAAGCCAAGCGTATAGAGTCAGTTTATAACCGATCTGTCACACGTCCTTCTAATTTTGGAATTATGAGTATCAGCCATTTTCATCGTGGAATTGGAATTATGTTTAATATGTATAGATGCATGTGCTTCTTTTGGCACTCGTATGTTATAATGAAAAAGTTACTGTTGTCTCCTGATTGTGCAGGTGAGACAATGGTTCCCATAAGCTGGACAGAGATGCAGTGCCCATTGTCAAGCCAAACTGAGCCGAGAAAAGTTGCCAAGGTGGGCAGTTAAATTCAAGACGATATTTGACTTCTCTCATAGAATGAGGTTGTGGTCTTTGCAACAAGAATGAGATTATTACAATTTTTGGGCTCTTTTGACATCTGCAATTTAGAGTAACTTGGCCTTCTTCCTACATCAAGGTGGACATTTTAGGATACATTCGTTAGGATTTTCTCATGTTCTTAAACTCAAGACATTTTCTTTGGTCGAGAAAATCCAAATCCACTCGATAACGACTTTTTCTTGTGTAAAACAAAACTTTTGATATGATTAATTTTTTTTTATTTACGATTTAAAGTTGCTGATTTCTTAAGGTCTTTATTTACTTTTATAAAAGAAATTAAACGGGGTTTTAAGGTGAAACTGCGATAAACTCGGTATATTGTAATATGAATTGTTTGGAAGATCATTTTGGATTTAACTCAATTGCATTGTACACAGTAAAGAAACACATATTTCCTTGATCTTATCAGTAAAGAAACACATATTTCCTTGATCTTATCAACTAAATTCTCTCAATAACCTATAACATTTTGTTGAGGATATTGGTCTTCAATGCGAATATCATGTTTCCTGTCTTCGATTCACGAATTAGTACACTAATATAACCTCAAATGTCAACAGATGCATAGCAAAATGTCAACTCCTTTGGTTTTTCAAAATTCGGATAAAATGTTGTAGCGGTTTTGGGAACAACTAAAACCAGAATGTTGAAGCTTTCTGTTCACTTTTTTTTTCTTTAACTTTGTCATTTTTTCATCTATTTCTTAGCAACTGGTTTCTGAATTTTCCTCTGCTTACCAACTTTCCCAGCTTCCTGTAGAATCCAAAATTTAAAGTTATAACTAAATAAGTAAATATGCAAAGATGAGTTGGTCTAAATTAGTGGTTGCAGAAGTAGAAGCTTACTCGTATGTTCCCTATATCACGTAATGGTTGTTTTTTTGCTTCTTTGTCGTCATGGCTAATCTCAACGGGTTTCTTACCATCTACTGGTTGCATTGCTTTATCAGATCTGTTTACTTTTTCTTCTCTGTTGCTACATTTGGAGACTAAGCAACCACAAGAGTCCCCACATCCGCTTCCATTTGCCCTGCATTTGCAATTTTTGGTCTTGCACAAAGATTTTTTAGTGCAAGAGCAACACACCTCTGCTTTGCTCTGCTCTTTTTGGCAAAGAGTTTTCTCCGAAGTTTTCGGTTGAGATAGCTCTAGGTTTGATTCATCATTGGTATCGCAGAGTGTTTCCTCAGAAGATTTTGGTTGAGATGGCTCTAAATTTGATTGATCGTTGCTATTGCAGACCGTTTCCTCAGAAAGATTATGTTGAGATGGTTCCAAGTTTGATTGATCATCGGTATCCTTGCTGGAAACAGAGAATTCAGCTGGTTCACCCTGATGAATAGTTGGAATTGAAAAGTCAGGCCTCAAAAAAATAAAGTTGCTCTTTGGTTCTTATTAAACGTTATTCCAAATACCAAATTGACAACCTGAACATTGTTTGCTTCGCTGAGTTGAGATTTGGTCATTTCCATCTGGCTGACTAGAGTACTCAGTTTGTTAAATTCTTCTTTAAGTTCCTTTAATTCTGAGTCCATCGGAGTGTGGTTGATTATGTTGTCACATGACTCAGAGCTAAATAAGAGACGTAAATATAATCACCTTAGAAAACACAGTTAGAGGCTAGAACAAAAGTTTAGCTAATTATCAAACTTACCAGGAGTTTTGCTCTCCCTCAAATTCTGCCTTCAACACACTTGCCTCTAGGCTGAACCTTTTGACCTCTTCAGCTATTCTGATAAAAATAGTAAAGAAAACATAATTTCAGACTGGTAAAGTAATAAGAACTTTTATACACTCAATGTAGAGTGTTTTCCGGATAGAAAAGCATGATAACTTAGAAAGCTTACTCTTTCATTTGGCGTTCGTAATCAGAATGAATCTTATTCAACTTCATTAGTAGCCCAACTTCATTGCTAGAATCCTGGATAGCCAGAATCAAAAACATTTGGAGGTTCAACTTATGGTAATCAATACATAGCCGCATATAACATGGAATATCAAGAATCTGTATCTTCTTCCGGAAATGTAAAGTACAGAGACTAAAGATCCTAAATAAAGGTTTCAAAACAATAGTACAGTTGAAAGCCTATGTAAATCTTTAACCAACTAATTAAATTCTTGTTGAAACTAAGATGTTGCGTTGATGCTTAGGTTCAGGAACCCATACCTGAATCTTGGAGCTTTTTCCTTTTGGTTGGCCTGGAGAAATACAAAGAAGATACTTAAACCAATTTAG